ACTAACAAATGGAGTATCACACACAGCACAGTGGGGTAAAAGTCAAGCTGAACTCCACTGGCTCTAATGTCACAAGCAGTATCATCAGTTTTTATTAAACACTGTACACTGCTCTAGGGGTGGCAGTGTGGCTGGCCATTTGGTCCACCACTTTGGTCCAGGCTGAAATATCTCAGCAACTATTGAATGGATTGCCATGAATTTTGGCACAGATGATCATGGTTCCTACTGGATGACGCCTACTGACTCTGGTGATCAACTGACTGTTGTATTTATTTTAGTGAAACGTTTTGAAAACCTTTGGACAGATTGACATGAAATCTGGTATCGTATCTCAATGGTACCCAAAAGACAGAACATAATGACTTTGATTCCCATAGATTTTCTTCTAGTGCTATCAACAGGTAAAAGTTTAACCTTATTGCGTGAAGCATCTCAACATCTATCAGATGGATTGGCACAAAATTTGGTTTAGACAGGCATTGTCCTCAGAGGATAAACCCTAATGACTTTCTTGATCCCCTGACTCCTCTAGCACCACCATAAATAGGTGGTGAAAAGTCTCAACAACTACTGGACAAAATACCTGCATAGATGACAGTGAGTTTTTGCTAGATACAGTAGCTAGTTAGCCAACTAGTACCTACTAGTAAAGCTAGTAAACACTACTTGATACAATGAAACAAAAATTACAAGTACAATTTTGGCTAAAAGCAATACAATATTATGAAATAAACAATTACAATGCCAAGCCTGCTTGCTGATCTTTTCATATGCTACGAAATTATAATTTTGTTACTAAGATTTACTCCTTAGCTAAGTCACAAATCCTGCATTCACAGACTACGCTGTAAATTTGTCTGTGTTCATACTTTTGGCAATGTCCCTGCTCCTATTCATAATTTTGCAGACAACACATTCTTTATCTGGGAAGTTTTTGTTTAATTTGAGGAAATTACATTAGGGATATGACAATGAGTGATAGAGTAGCCCACAAAGTGTTCATAAAGCAAAATGAAACCCTTGGAGACTTGAATACATGTACTGTTTTCTCCTCTGGGGTAATCGTTTCTTTGTGGCTTATAAAGATTAACGTTGCAGTTTTAAGTTTGATTCAGTTGTGGTTTCTTGTGCTGTTATTTCTGAATGTGAATGTTTGTGCTGCCAAGTTGTGGAGATGAATTTGCAGCTGGATCAAGGGGCAGGCTGCCTCTTTCTCTCCCTGGTCTCATTATCATAACTTTGACTCAGCACTCTTCTCTGTCACATTGACACCTCTCTCCACCTCACTGCCTTATCTCCCTCTGCCACATCTTTTCTTCCCAGTTTTTCTACTTTGTCTTGTCTTACTCCATCTTTTCATCTCACGGTAGTCTCATTCAACCTACCTGCCATGCATTTTAGCTGTGATTATCTTTTTCTTTCAGCCTTACTTTTCTAGTGTATTTTATTGGGAAATGCTGTCTCACACAGATAGAAAATAGAAAAATATACATACAATCAATTTAATAATTCAAACTGTATTTGTGTAATTTTGGAAATCTATATTTCAGATTATGACCATCAAATGTTGTTGTATTGTTTCTGTGACAAACTACACAAGGATAGTATCTCAGACTGAAAGATAAGCTAAGGAATGGGATCTCAGATATGGCCCCCGGTACTCAAATCTTCCAGTGCTCATTATACCATGATGTCTTACAACACTAAAGTCACACTCAAGGAGATTATTGCATCAGAAAATAAGCTGCCAGAAATCAACAAAATTCATTGTTATTGAATACAATCGTGTCCTTCTAATAACTTTTATTTAAAGACTATTTTTGTCAGTTATTGCAAGCCACTAAAGTTCAGTGACTTTATTGCCTTATGCTGCTCTTCTACCGGCTGCTCTTCCAACATGCGACAGTACGTGAGACCACTGGTGCCGTACGCTTATTACATTCTCCATCTGGAAGACGGTGATTTGGTAACATGCACATGACAAAAACGCACTCACACACACACAAATATATACACATACTCCACTGTAACACCGTGGGTGTAAGACAGGTACATCAAGAGGTACCTCTCTTCTGTCTCTCCTCTTACATCTTTACTGTTCAGGTGGAACCTCCACTGACAATATAATACCAAATCTTGACAAGAACATTTCGTCTGCTTTGGCAAAAGTAGGCGAGACAAAACAAGCGCTCACAGCCCAGCAGAGTGAGGAGAAAAAACACAGACAGTGCTACCATGCATAAGACACGTGTGACTCACTGATTACTTCAATGCTAATGTGGTTATGAATTTGCAAAAAACACATCCGCATGTAAATGGAGGTTATTATGCAGTCATTAGCAGAGAAATCACTGGTGAGACCTACACACGAGCCAGCAAACACCCACACTGTTCACCCACCACATGCCCAGTCCCATGCTTGTGCCACAGACACTGGTTCTACATGCTGGTAGTCATGAGTAATACTCACATAGAGGGAAGAGGAGGGGCAGAGAGGAGAAGAAGAAGAGGAGGAG